CCCTCGGAGTCCTGACTGTCCGGAAGTGCTTCCTGGCATCCAAATGGAATCTTGGCTCCCAGAGCTTTGCTCCATTGGAGCGTGTCCCGCCTTCCTCTGCAGGGGAGAACAGGTCTCTACCCATCTCTGTGTGACATCCCCTTACATACCTGTATGCAGCCAACATATCCCCTCTGAGTCTCCTCTTCTACAGGCTGAAGAGACTCAGTTCCCTCAGTCTCGCCTCATACCCCATCCCCTGCAAACCGGCCACCAACCTTGTGGCCCTACGCTGCACTGACTCCAACCTGGGTATATCCTTTCTGTTAATGAGGGGCCCAAAATACTCCAGTTGCAGGTGCACCAGAGTCGTATAGAGTGGTAGCAATACCTCTCTCGATCTAAAAGCCACACTTCTGGCTATGCAACCAAGGGTGGTGTTCACCTTCTTGACCACTGCATCACACTGCTGACTCATGTTTAGCCTGCAGTCAACCAGTACCCTGAGGTCCCTTTCACAAGTGCTGCTCCCCAGCCACTTGTCCCCTAACCTGTACTTATGACACCTATTCCTATGCCCCAAGAGTAAGACCTTGCACTTATCCACATTGAACGCCATCCTGTTGTCTCCTGCCCACTTCCATAGTCTGTCCAGATCCTTTTTGATCTGGAGTACCTGCTCCTCAGTTGTGGCCATTGCTCCAGTTTTAGTATCGTCTGCGAATTTGATCAGCAGACTGTTCACCCCTTCTTCCATGTCATTAATTAAAAGATTAAACAGGATCGGCCCCAGGACAGAGCCCTGGGGCACCTCGCTTGTCACTGGCCGCCATCCTGAATGGTTACCCTCTGCTTTTGGTCAGTCAACCATGCCCTAATCCACCGTGTATCCCAAAGCTCCTCATTTTCTCCACCAGGATATCATGGGGCACTTTGTCAAAGGCCTTGCTGAAATCCAGGTATACCACATCCACTGCATCCCCTCCATCTAGCCATCGCAAAACCTTGTCGTAGAATTCCACAAGGTTTGTCTGGCAGGACCTGTTTTTGCAGAAGCCATGTAATGTGGCTGTCAGCCTCCCTTCCCTATCTAGCATCATTAGATCTCTCTCTATTATGAGCCTTTCCATTGTTTTTCCTACAATGGACGTAAGGCTAACAGGTCTGTAATTCCCCATGTCCCTTCTACTACCATTTTTGAGAATTGGGACCACTGACGCCACCCTCCAGTCCTCTGGAACTTTACCAGTTCTCCACGAGGCCTCAAATATGGAGGCCAGTGGGTGTGAGAGAACCCCTGACACCTCTCTAAGTACTCTCGGATGTAACCCGTCAGGGCTTGATGCCTTTGTAATGTCCAATGCCCTGAGGAGCCCCTCAACGTCTAGTGGGGTGACTCTAATCTGTGCCCCTAAGTCCCCAGCCTCCTCTAATCTATGCGGATCTCCCCCGTCCAGCTTTGGGGAGAACACAGAGGCAAAATAGTCATTTAGCATCTGTGCCTGTTCCCTCATATCAGTCACCGGATCTCCTTCCTCCTCATTTAGTGGTCCCACCACTTGTCTCCCCTTTCCCTTCCTAGTTACATGCTGAAAGAAGCCCTTTTTGTTGCTCTTGATATTCGTGGCAAGTCTCAGCTCGTAATCAGCCTTAGCCTTGCGAAGAATCCTTCTGCAACGGGCCTCCTCCTCCCAGTATACCCTTTCATCTATTTGCCCCGGTACCCATTTCCTATGAATTGCTGTCCAGCCTGCCATATGAATGGCAGGCTGGACAGCAATCCTACTTGTCATCCCTTACTGGGACCCTGAAGTAGGGATAGAGAAATTAGTCATTTCTGATTTCTTTCAGTTTCTCACTTTTCCAGATGAAGTCCAGCCTGTACTTTGAGAGGTTTTTTGAACTTAAATTTGGTTCCAAACATTGAGCTTCTTTTTTGCATCTTATGCAATTTTACCTAAACCAGCAGTTGTTGTTGTTTGCAAACAATATTCCTCATATCATGCATTTTAACATAACATTTATAAATATACACATCCCTATGTGTAATTTTCATAGGAAGATTCCATTGCAAAATTAAGAGAAATTTGAATTTCGAAGGATAACAGGTTCAATTCAAGTGCTGGTCTGAAAGTAAAAAAAAAAAAATGGTACATTTGCATGCAAGTGGAACAATCCCTACTGCAAGCAAATGAAAGATGCTCCTGCAAAGAGCATCTTTAGCCTCTTGTGCAACAAGCAGAGGTAGTAGAGAGCAAGGTACCCTTGTCCATGATCATGTATGTGATGAGGGGCCATAGCCAGGAGCAGATTACAGTATTGGCTATTCCTTAAAAATGTATGCAATAATCTTCTTACAAGCAACTCCAAGGAGGTAACAATAAACATCCTGAATTATAGATTCTAGCAGTGAACAAATTTTAAGCAAGACAGGCATGACTATAGTTCTTGAAGCACCACTTTCTGAAACTTCAGAAGTAATTTCTCTTTGCGCCTATCAGACACCGCAGAATAATATAAACATTTTATCGTTTCTCGGCAGTGCTCCAGGCAAGAGTCACACATGGTCACTCAGCTATCTGCCTTTTATAGTCATTCATTTAGCACATGGAAATTACAGCTAAAACTAGAAGCCTTGCATGGCTACCTATCAATGAACAAATAAATAAAAGAGGAATTACATGTGCAAATCCTTCCATTTTCATAGGTGTTGTTTGTTTGCTTATTAAGACACAATTTCCCCTGCGATTTGCATAATCTGGTTAAGGGAAGGGCTGTGTTTGCCAGAGGGTATGTGTTGCTGCCCTTTGCAATTAGACTGTGTAATTTCTCTGGTGGATTTCTTCTGAAATTTTCAGAAAATATGCAAATGAATCAATAAATATACCAACTGGCTTGCAGAGAAATAGAAATAAAACAGGGACCATCTCAGCAAAGCAGTTCAACACAAATCCTAATTGAACACTCTGGCAATAATGTATTTTGCTGAATAAATTGGATGTCACATTAAATAAAGACATTGTTCAATGCCGGCTGTGAGGGTAAAATGTGGATGCCCCCAAATGTAATAGGTTACAGTCAGTGTTCTTGCACTCATGTATATGGTTAGTATACCATAACAGTATTAACCCCCAGAGTGGTAAGCCTACCCTGGGGCAGCAGGATTAAGCTAGTTTTGGTGGTGGTGAGATTGCTTATGTCCCTGCACCACTGAGATATCAACTCCATGATTCTACAGTAGTAATCTTGAACACACTTTCTGAACACAGTGGGGCTTACTTTTGAGTAAATCTGCAGAGGGCTTCAATATCATAGCCTTGCTACTCTCTCCCTTACAAAATGCCCTTCATGATCTAGACATTTATAAAAACGTCCTTCAGTTTCCCGGGTGGATGAGTTCACACATGCAAGTTTCTCTCTCAGTTTGTTTATATTCAACAGTGTTGCTAGGTAATTTTAGACTCTGTAATGGTCATACATTCCCATTGATGATAAAGAGATCAAAGGCACAATCATACACTCATGTAGACAGATAAAAAGCCTGCAACTCCTAGAATGCCCAAGCCAGCCATGACAGGCTTTCTCTTTGCTAAGACAGGCACAGAATTACACCCTTAGTGTATGCACTTCACAGTCCTATGCAAGGTGCAAAAACTAGCTGAAGTGTATTATTTCGCTTAACTCAGCAAAGCCTGCCCGGCTGTGCTGCAGAGCACTTCTGTTCACTCTGTTGAGTGGAGATTTAACCACCTTAGTGCACCATTCTTTCAGCTGGATGATGATAATGAAGCAATGTTCTGTCTGTGTTGTGAATAACTCAGTACTACAGTGTATGCCGGTAGAGTTCTCATGACTGCATGTAACTTGACCAGTTGAGTCTGTGATGGTCATGCTGAACTTTGGAATCGATTCCCAATAAAATACCTGTGGGACAGTTATTTCTGCTTGAGGGAAAACAATTCCAATGATATATTCATTCATTCTCTCTTCCATAGATAGATATACATAGCTAGAAGGAAGGAGAAATGCATAATACATAGACAGAGAGATGAGAGGGAGAGATATGTTAGACAGATTGATAGATAGACAGATTAGATAGACAGACAGACAGACAGAACGAGCCAAAGCCCCCTCACAAGAGGGAAGTATCAAAAGGTACCTCCAAGGTTTGCAGAAGTAAAAAAAATAGGGGGGATCCTAAAGGGAGCACCTAAAGAACAAGCAATGCTTACAGACTGTTGATAAGGGGGGAAGGAAAACCAGAAGGGAGGAATGGAGTGGATTGTCCTGGAAAGAGGCACGGCTGACTGGAAACCTGAATGAGAGCCCTCCACCCTGCAGCGTGTTCTAGGGTAGAAGTTAAATCTGGCCCAGTCACAGATGGGCAGCCAGTGCAGAGACTTCAGCAGCGGCATTGCATGCTGATGCGCGGAAGCACTGACAGCAGGCAGCCAGGCCCATTCAGCACCAGCTGCAGCATCCAGGGCAGACCCAAGGGCAGCCCTCCATGGAAACCCAGAGCGGGAAGCAATTTTGGTTCCGTTTGCAACATGCAGCTCCCTTGAGAATGCACTTCCTCAACACTCCCTACAAGCCTCCAGCTCTATCCAATAGCATGTTCACTTGTCACACTGTATCAAACAGCATTTTATTCCTGGAAGGAAATATTCATAGATGCACACTGTGATATGGTGCAAATGGAGCTTGCTTCTCCATTTCACGTACATCCCCTCTCTTTTAGTAGCAATACTGAGTTCAGTGGCAGCCAGAAAGTGCATTCTGGTTGCCATCTTCAAATGTTGTGCGACTGGGTGCTGAAATTCCAGCAATGGGAACATATGGAGGGAAGACGTTGTGTCCCTTATGCTGGCAGAGACAGAAGTATGCCTTTCCAGTACATACTAAATAAAGTTATCTCAGAAAAAAAAATATTGCAAAGCACTGCATAGACCACTCCACCAAGAAACAGTACTTCTATTCTCCATTTCCTGTAACAAAGGAAGAAGACAAATCAAGCTTACCAAGATCTAGGTGAATTCCTGGAACAAAGGAATTGAGAAAGAACATGAGGATTACACATCCTAAAACAGTCAGGCATTTGATAAGAAGTATCTTGTCTGTTATTCTGTGCTGTTGAGACAAGAAAATACATGAACTGAGTTAAAGAAGCTTAAGTGGACTCCGGGGGATGGTGGAGGACAGGAAAGCCTGGAGGAATGTTGTCCATGGGGTCGCGATGGATTGGACACGACTTCACAACTAACAACAACAACAAGTTAAGGAAGAAATACTCTTCAAATGTGTATTTTCAAACCAACAGGCTTTACTAAGTTGCAAAACAAATGTGTTTCCACTGTCTGGAAGATTCTATTGAAATGACAGAAGGAACATCTGAGGTGTCAAAACAATATTTTAAGTTTAGAAAAGGGATGTGTTTTGTGTCTATATATTTTTAACACATTTTCCAGTGCAACATTATTTACAGTTTAAGGAATGCCAACCAGACACAAGTTTTAATATCAATAAAAATATGACCATTCATTACAGGGACCAAAATAAATATATATTGTTATACCAAGAACAGTATGTCTGGATTACAATTTCAACTGAAAATTCACATTTAGTTACTTAAAATTACACCTTCCTAGTTCATGATCACATTTTCCATGGCTTAGATGCTTTGTATTACTGATACCTGTTTCCTTGCAACCCTGAAATTTCTTTCTATCCCATCACTCATTACATTTTTGCTAGAACAAAAAGAAGAAGAAGAAGAAGAAGAAGAAGAAGAAGAAGAAGAAGAAGAAGCCAACAATACTCCATGTCTGGCAAAGTGTAGAAACGTATTTTAAACCTAGAAACAGGTCATCTTATGACCACATCTTCCACATGCATAATGTATGTTGGCTCACAGTGTGAATTCTAGAATTATCCTGAATTAACTGCATCGGTAGAAGTAAAATTCCCAGTCCCCTTCTTCCCTTAGCAGTCCCTCCAACCTCCTGAAAATGAAGAGGTAGCAGATCTTGCTGAGTAGAGTAAAATGTGGTATGGAGAGAGGCTTCCACAAAATCAAACAGAGAGACCTTCCTAAATGGGTCCTGGATCTAGCCCGCTGGACCACGCACACCTAGGGAAGCAACAGCTTATTTCGTTTTCCTGCTTCATGCACTCACAGTAAATTACATACCCAGGAAAATTACACATGACATTCTGTATGCAATGTTGGCACCTTTCCAAGCACTTCTGTGTTTTCAGTCTAAGATATTGATGTGTAATATGGCACCAAGGAATCCTTCTTATCTTCACAAGACTTAGAGTCTGTCTCCATTTCCTATTCTTCCCACTACAGTCTTTCATTTCTACTTTGATTTCATCTTTTCCAGACTACTAGGCATATGCCAGGTACCATACATTCCCCTGGATAAATCTCTACAGTTTCATCTTAATTTATTGAAGCTAGCAAGCGCCACTAGAAAAACACTTTAAGGGAGGTTAATAACATCTATATGTCAAAATCTGGTATGTACGTTCAACATACTTTCAAATAAATCAGACTTAATTTGAAATGCATGGCGGCACACATGGCAGAAAATATTAAATTTTAGCTTACAGCTATAAAGAGGTGAAAAGGGCTTGCTTGCCATATAGCCTTCTCTATTAAGCCAAGAGAGTTTAGTACTGTTCCAAATGCCTTTTGATTTTTTGAAAAGCTCATTTAAAGTGAACCAATGGATTCAGGTTTTCTGTATGCTGATATTTCCGAACCCACTGAAAGGGCCATTTGAAAATGGAAGCTGTTTTAACACTGAAATATACTCAGTGTTATAAGAAAGAAATAATGACAAAACATAGCAGGTAGAGTTTTTCAGATATATGAAAGCAATTCATTTACCGTTTTTTGCAGCTCCTGAATATTTGTTTCCCAGTTTTTATCTTCTTGTGAGATCTGTCTGCAATAGTCCACACAAGCAGATTTGCATTAACAGAAAAGAGCTATTTACTACTACCCATTTTGTCATTGATTAACTGTAAGGGCCTTTAGTAAAGTCATATATCACAATAAAACTGACTGATTGCATTGTAATCATGCAAGGCTTTACTACAGCTTAGCCTGTTAACAAAAGGGGGGAAGGACTTTTAACTTCTCACACTTCCCTCAAGTGATGGAAACTTTCCAGATCTTCTAACCACATGTGTTAGCAATGTTAAGGACAACCCAGAAGTTTGGCATGCCTGCAATACCTCCGCAAAAATGTTAGTAGTTCTGTGCCACTGTGAATGGTTGAGGGGCTCACCACCTCTTACCAGGCACCCGATGACCTGAACTTGGTTTCCTGGCCAGTGCTGGCAGTCAGGCAGGCTCTCAACCTGGCACAATTGACAGGGAAAGGACTTGACAAGGGAGACATCCCAAATGGATGATGTCAAACGCTTTGACTCAATCGCAGTTTCCTATCCCAAACAATATGAGCAACACCTAAAATGGCCAAGGAAGGAAGAGAGAGAGAGTAAAAGGGAAGGGATAAAAGGAGAACAGGAGAAGGATGCACAGTAGACGTTACAATGGCAGTAAAGGAAATGCAGGATGTAGGAAAGGAATGCAAGGGAGGGCAAGCGACAGAAGACATGACTTGGGAAAGACTGAAAACAGGTACATATGCTGCTCATGGCTGGAACGCAGTGTCCAGTTTCCACCTGAGAAGAGAACAGCCTGTGCAGGTTACTTTTCCTGACAAACCCTGGGTAGGTTTAAAGAATCCACTTGTTAGCACTCTTCCAGAGAGTCAAGATTTGTGGGATTTGAATCAAGTTACATATTGGCTACAAGCTGCCAGGAGGGGCTGATGAGGAAGCAAGCAGCAACCCTGGGCTTTCTACTGAAGCCCAAGAGTTACTAGAGACAGTGGGTATTTTGTAGGAAGGAATCCTTTTCATGATATATACAGCCAGTTGGAGTAATGACATGAAGGCCATTGGGTCCAGCCCCCTGCTGTTGCAGGACACCAAGTTACACCATCCCACTAAGATGGCTGTCCAGTTTCTTCTTGAACGTCTCTAGTATGGGATAGCCCACCACCTCTCTAGGCAGCTGGCTCCACTATTGTATTGCTCTGACTGTGAGGAAGCTTTTCCTAAGAAAGAGGCAGATTCTGCTTCCCTAGAACAATTGTTTTCGAAAGAAACCATGAGACATGATTTTACCCCAATGCTTTCTACTGGCTGAGGCAAAAAAGCCACTCAAATTAGAAAAACCAAGCAAAATATGCAAGGACCTGCAGAAACTCTACTACAAGAAAACTCTACAATGTCTGGGACTGTTAGCTTAGGGGAAAAGGAGGATAAGGATGCATTGCAAAGTTAATAAAGAGACATCTAATTCTCCTGGTCATAATAAATGAACCTGGAGTAATTCCATGAAGCTTTTGGTAGGCAATTCAAGTCAGATAAAAAGAAGCAGTTCTTCACACAGCCATAGTTAATGTATGCAATTTGCTACCCCACTAATTTGGCTGGCTTCAGAAGGGGATTGGACAAATTCATTAAGACTGTCAGTGACCTCTAGTCCTAATGGCTGTATGTTGGCTGCATAACTAGACAGTAGACCTCTCAATACTAGTTGCTGGGAAATATGAGCAGAATGTTGTTGCACTCAAGTCTTTTCCCAAAATCAGCCAGTTGACCACTATGTGAGCAGAAAGCTAGATCAGCTAGACCTTTGGTCTAGTTCAGGAGAAGGCGTCTTATGGCCTTACAAAGTATAAGATGTTTTGAGTTATTTTATATCCTGGCCTCTTCTTGTTTTCAGAAAGAAAGAAAAAATCTGTATGAACAAAACTCAGGGTTGGTAACATTGTAAAAATGATCCAGAGCAGCAGATTTCAGGGGCTGTTCAAAATAGCTATTTACTCCTGACCATTCAATTCATGACATGGAGTAGATTGCTGGGTGGGGGGAGGAGGAGACTTGAGGGGACTGCAGGAGAAAGCAGGAATCCAAGCCCATTCTGCCAGTGGACAGAAACCTTTAGACATACATACACACATACTTCATTTCCATGAAGTGGCTGGCTTCTTGTAAAAAGCCAGTTGGCTTGGGCCTACCTATGGAATGTTTTGAGCTTTTTCTTCAGCAAGAGTTCTTGAGCAAGAACTTTTTGCATTAGGAGACACTTCACAGCTGTTTCCTCTCTGCTGGCTGGGTTAATTCGCTGGGCCGTCAATCTCCAAACATGGATTTCATGTTTCAGTTCTAAGAAGAAATATAATTATTTAGCTGAAAGTGAAGATATTAAATCAGCTTCCCTAGCTACAACAGAAGTAGATGCTAACATGCATATAACATATTCAGTAAAAACGTTAAACCACTGACACAGAACTGAATATTATTAAGAGCTCTAGTATAAATCTTGCTTTTTCCAGATTTTTTAAAATTATTATTTGGAAGGGAAAAACTCATGTGGCCAAATCCCAGCTGAGATAACTAGCTACAGTGAACAACCTAGAATTCACAATCCAGCACTATACCATAGGTTTTCTTTATGGGTTGTCCATGGTTAACAAGCCATGGTTTATTAGATCAGATTAATTCAATGAAATTGAAAATGTACAGTTCAGCAACAACCCACACTAAACCCTTGGAGATCTGTTATGTTGTTTGAATCCAGTCATGATAGGAGCTGCTTGGGAAAAGCAGTTAACTCCTGTGTATCCCCAAAACTAATGTCAAATACTCTGAAGTCCAGGAAAAAGTTGTTTAGCTCTTGCTTTCTTTTTACACAACCACGTCCTTGAAGATGGGTATCAAGTGACAAATTAAGAAGCCTCAGTTCATCCCGTACTTGTCTTGTTTGTTCGATTGCTAGAGACAGAGAAAATTCCAGTAAAGGTGAAGTTGAGGTCGTGCTCTTCCTGACACTTCCAACAATTATTCTCCAAGTCTATTTTCCAGCAAGTTGCTTGACATAGGAATCCATTTTAAGGATCACAAATGCATAATTTCATATAATACAGAAAATGTTTGAAGCTGGAAGAGTGACAGAGGGGCTGCAGTCTCACACTACATATTAGAGCATTTTTAGCACTAATGTGCCATGGCAGGCATCTTGCTCATAAGTATAATTAATTCTTAATCTCTGCTAGGTTAAATATTCATAGAACCATTATTCTTAGCTCTGTCAATTTGTGTAATTACTTTATCTAGAGACTACTGAGGGTCTGAAATCTTATTCAACATTTAAACTCCCTTCTTTCTCTTGGTACCTGATTATTCTCTTGTATAAAAGATTAATGTGGAGTTTAGCCTAAGGTGAATCTCCTTATGGTTTAGCATCAAATAAAATCTCATTCTCAGCATAAAGATATGTAAGCATTTTATTTGAATCAGGGCTTTACAAAAACTTTAATATCACTATATCATTAAGGATTGGAAATTTTATAATTTCTACTAGATTTCTCCCCTTTATTTCTATTAGTAGCCCAGGTGGAATATCTGATATTACTATGGACTGTTGATATTAGAGAGATTTCTTCTTTGGACATCTGTTTAAGACACACATCTCCATACAGGCTTTCTCTAAGCTCTGAACCAGTCAGTGTATTTAGTTATCTAATTACTTCCATACTGTCCTATTGCCAAAACCTTCTGGATGGTTCACAACAATTACAGTTTTATTGCTTAGTAATGATTCTTGTATTATATTTTTACTGACACCATTGGAGACTTTTTTCGGTTTTGACAACCCCTGCCCCCATGGAAGAGAATTACAGGAAACACATGCTAAAGGGAAAAGTTTAATTCTCCTCTCCTGGTGTGTGCTAGTTCCAAACAATGTTGAAGCTGCAATTTTGCTAGAGTAAAAGCTGCATTAGAGTAAATGAAAAGATAACCCTGAGATACAAACAATACAGTTAACATACAATATGGTTTGGTCCTTAACCTGCTAGAGAAAGGAAGAAGGTCTTTTCAGAAATGACTCCTACATTGTAGAATTTCTCTCCAAAAGAAGCCTACCAACTTTCTGTCTTTGTGAGTTTTCATAAATCAAGTGAAGTCTTTTGAAAAATATTCATTTAGGTAAAGTTTAAAGAACTAGTTCCAAACTGTCTTACAGAATTATCCCATGGCTTGACAAATGAGGAATACAGGAGAGACAAACAGTCTTTTCCTATGCCTGGTTAGGTCACACTGGCGAGGAGAAAATGGGTGGGGAATAGTTTGTTTCCTTCTGCTCCTTCACCATGCTTCTTCTTTCTCCCCATCACAGTGGTTCCAGATGGGAGGGAAATTTACTATGCCAGCTCAAGGGCTAAATTGGGAGCATGTCAAAAAAACCCAAAACTGTATTTATTAATTGATTGATTGATTACATCACAGCTAACACGATCCTTTCCATTTTATTCTGACTATACCCCTGTGAATTAGTGAACTGCATGACTGAATGTGGACCAGAACTATTGTATTCTGAGTCCAAGCCAACACTCTAAGCATTGTGCCACACTAGTTGTAGATGCTACAGGCTTCCCCAGTATGCTCCTTTAGCACTTTCTGAGCTTGGAGCACTGATTTTGGAGAAGCATGAGATGCGGAAGTTCCTCTGTGCTCACAAGAGTTAGTTGCAAGGGTGAACATTTCTCTCCGACCTTTGAGAGAGAGATCTGGACTGCAGTCTTAGCATTCTATTTGGTTGCTGAGGAGTATTGCTCATTAGAACAACTAGGCAATGTGTTTGTACTTGGCTTAAATTTCATTAGGACGCACGCTGCTGTGAATTTAATAAAGCTGGCAAAAAGATTTTTGCAAAAGTAATAAGGAGAACCATGAAGTTCTGATATTTTGCCCATTATTTATGTGAAAATCCAGTCCAAACTAGAGGCAAACTTTATGTGCTATGAACTCTGGCAAGAGCCCTGTTTGACAAAGTGTATGCAAGCAGAAAGTAGGAAATTATGGGCTGAATGGCAAGTTATCCAAGATCTTCGCTCAAATTAGTAGACTGTGGCAGCATCAAATTTCTGTAAAATATGCCTGATAAATTGTCAACACCTAGATAATTCCCATGTACACTGATGGAAGACTGGAAATTCAATCATGATAATAATTTATCATGTTAGATTTAAAATCTATTTAAATATCCACAGCTCCAAACTGCACTGATTGAAAAGCAGCTCACTGGAAATTATTTTAATAACCGTGATTATTTATAAATTCTATAGTACTTTGCAATGCACAAAATACTGTTTTTCATTATTTATCCTCAAATAACCTCATGAGATAGGTTAAGCCGAGGAGGAGACTTTTGCCCAAAACTATCCAGTGAACTTCAGGGCTGATGGTAGCTGTTAATCTGGTCTTTTTTCATTGCCAGACCTAACATTATGCCACATTTCTAGGTTATTGATGAACAAATATTTTCAGGGAGAATTATTAAGTAGTTCAGTCATCATCCTTTCTACATCCACATATGAACAATGCTTTTCCCAACTTACTGCCATCCAGAAGTTTTCAACTACAACTACCATCATCAAACATTATGCTGGCTAGGACTGCTGGGAACTATAGCCCCAAACATGTGGAGAGTGCCTCAATGGGAAGGCTGCCTTTGACACGGGTCCCAAATGTAAAATGGGTTTCTTAGTTCTTGCTTAGTAACTGATACCAAAAAAATTACACAGCATCTAATGTAGTTGTGAAGCAGGAATAATTTCAGAATCAGAGCTGTCTTCTCCAGCATGGCTGTTGGGCAACGGATATTTCAGGAGCATCTGTACAAGGGGGATTGAGTTAGCATCTCTTTGGGATAGCAGCAGCCACCCTGGGGAACGCAACACTAAATTACATTAAAAGGCACCGTCAATCAGTCAGGAGGCTGGTAAGCAGCTCTGGATGGAGTGCTCACCTTGCTAGGTGAAGCGGTACTTCTTTTACACATAATCTTTTTAGTCGTATTAATGAGAATTAACATTGCCCTGGAAATTATGTTGTTAGCATTCTCATGTGAGCATTATCTAAAGGTTAGAGGGAATTCCTCTAATGAAGATGTAGAATAAAGAGAAATGAATGGAAATAAAGGAGAAATGGCAAATGGAGAAATGGCAAGTTAATAAATGCTAAACAGACATGTATTAGCTTATGTCCCTTTAGATTCTCAACCACATTCCTTTGTGCTTTTTATTTTCTGTCTCTTAACCCACATATTTTAAGCTTTGCCTCTGAGGATAATATCAGTTAGTCATTGCTATTTCCTGAAACAGTCACAATGAAACAATTTCAGCTCATGGCTATTTGCATGAGGTCCCTATTTCCTGATACCAAGCTAAAGAATATCTTCTAGCCATCTTCTCAATGGCTAGAAGAAAATGAAGAGATTGTGCTATTGACACCTTTCTACCTTAACTTTTCTCATTCTTGAAATGTCAAAAAATCATGCCAGTAATATTCCTTGATTCTATTCTTGTCTATTTAGATTTGAGGGTCTGCTTTCCAATCTGTTCTGCTGGGGAAATATACCCTAATAACGACAAAAGTGTTCTGTTTCAGCACCTATTTATTCGCCAGCCACTTATTTGCACAATAGCAACTGAGTGCCCTTTTACATCAGTGCAACAGAGCAAGTTCAGCACCACAAATTACTGTTCTTCACCAAAACCCTGACAATGTAATTTGTTGCTGAGAAAATTGCATCAGCCTGGGAAACTATCAAAACAATTCCCATTTACTCCCTCCCAAGACATTGTAATTCAGAGTGTCAGGCTTCTAGGTCACAACATTTCCAAAACCAAGTTAGTACTATTTTTCATCAAAGCATAAGCTTGCACTTTGACAACTGTCTAGAGAAAAAGAAATCTCTTTGCAATTCATTATGCCCCTTTTCAGAAGTGGATACATATTTTTCACTCCAATAAAAAAAAATCTGCACAATTAAATAATGGTGAGGGTCAAGAAAGGAATGATGTATGGAACCAGTCTTCTAAATCTGATATACTCCATAGTCTATTAAATGGGAGATTGCTGTAAAATGGAGCATTCAAAATGACTTCAGTAATAACCTGAGAAATGAATATTCCACATACATTCCCTAATAATGAAGTTTCTTTAGAACAGAAAGTACATTTCTGAAATCAGTAGCAGTGTGCACAAATCACTTTGAGTACATTTTATTACATGGTCATGAAAATCAAGAAGCCCAGGAATTCCTTTGCTGAATGAGACTCTGCTTACAGAGTGGATGCACCATCACCTACACACCCAAG